TTTACATCATCATTAACACTTAACAAGAAGACAACAGAAAGGAATACAATAAATAAACATAATGGAATTACAGATGCCATGCATAAAAGAGATACAGAATAGTTTAAAAACAACATTGTAAATACAGTAGGTGCTAAAACAAGTTAAAAGGCTTCTGGGTAAGCAGCTGAAAAAAGTAGTGTTTTTAGCGGCGACTTAAAAGAACACAAATTTTCAGGTGACTAAAAACAGTGTTGGACTTCTTGTTTCTGACACACTCTGAAACAGTCAGGCTACTGTAATCTGAGGCACCGTCAAACAACATCATTTTTCCAAATCAGCAACACGACCGACAAATTCCTGTTATTATCAGCCACTGAAGGAGATCAGCACGTTGTTGCTGCTATATCATATGAGGGCTGACAATGCAGAAAGAAAAGCAGACACACAGGCTATAAGATGTATGAATAAGTTAGAGCAAATCTTTTGAAAGCACAGCCAAGTATTACATTCTGCTAATAACCGGTGAATTTAAAAAAAAAGTCTGTTTTATGTCAACTTCAGGAATGATTTTTCCAAAAAGATTTCTAGCTCTTGATTGTTTGTTCCTAATACAAACTTGTATATGTTTATGATCTGTCCTTTGTGCTTCTTTATTTCAGTGTGTAGGAGACGAGGAAGATCGACAGCTACCAGACATATGAGCGCTGTACAGTGGGATGACAGGAAACCACTGGAGGATTCTGTTATCAGGTTTCTTGAGAAGGCCGCAATCCCATTTCCTCTTCAAATGGAAATGCACTGCTTCATGAAGCCCACATGGGAGCAGGAGATTGGCTTCAAGAGTGACAAAAGACTTGGGTTACTGAAGTCTGTCAATCAAGGGTTGTGTTTTAGAATAACTGCTGCATCATAATGCAAACAACTGTCTCACTGTGAGCAGAGGGCATTTCTCTTAAGTGGCAAACACAGAGGTTTGATCAACGACACATTCACTCAAGAGAACAGGCACATCTGTCAACAAAGCCCCTTTAAAAAATGCCGTGACTGAGTAGATGAAATGTAAGGAAAGGAAAAAGGAAGTGAGATAGCGAAAGCAATTATGATGATAAAGCAATGATCAGATAGCAGATACATTCCAGGAGTCACTCAAGCTGTACATAATTCACTCTTTATCTACTGTACACTGTCCTTAAGAAGTAAAAACAATATTGATCATAATGTGTTTTTTCCTGTTTTGAGCAACTTTCTCTGATAAAAAAATGCCTTTTTAGACCTGCAACAAGTAAAGGTCCCAGAACATTGAATGTATGACCACTTTGCTCATGGTGAGGTGACAAAGTGTAGACCTTGTTGGCTGCTGCACATTTATATGCAGGCATTCAAGAGTGTTTAAGTGTTTATGGCACGATGACAGCAGAGCTGAGCAAGCAGCCCTCGACTGTGCTGCACGTGATTCAGCACATTTAAATCACATCATCATGGTAAAAACCATGATGAGTGTCGCGGCTATACCAACCAGAAACCAAATGATGTGCGAATAATCAGGTGCTTTATAAAGACCTCCAATAATCCATTCTACAAGGTACTTTAGGACACAAAAAAGCTGATAAGAAACAAAGCCACACACAGTTTTATTTGTGTTAGAGGCTTCTATAATTGCCTTGAACTTTGGCAGCAACCAGTTATAAGGTCAAAGGATCAAGCTTGCGGTGCCTCCAACAGAGATCAGTCACTGTTACAGCTTATAGAAACACACACAAGGAACCTCTTATTAGGCAGTGGTTTCACAGTCTAGTCTCCTGTGATTACACAATGCTGATGGAGGGAGGAATATCTTTCTATTTCACCATCCTCACCCTTTCACTTTCTCTTCAACCAACATAATGATACATATAATCCTGCACAGTGGTAACTACTGTAAGTACATTTACTCAAGTACTGTACTTTTGTACAGTTTTGAGGGACTTGAGTATTTCAGTTTTTTGCTACTTTGTACTTCTAACCCACTACAATTCAAAGGTACTTTATCTCCCCAACATTTATTTAATACCTTAAGTTACTTTGCAAATTTGGATTAATTATGTTAAATATAATCAACACTTAAATAAGACTTAAGTTACACCTGGAGTAAATTCACAAGCTACCCTGCAGTATACAAAGTCATTCAATTAGCTAACACACTAATGAATCAATACTTTAAATCAAAACATATGTAATATATTATTCAGAAAATGGGCCAACCTGCACAGTGAGTACTTTTACTTTTGGTACTTATATTTTGATGCTAATACTTTTGTACTTTTACTTGAGTAACATTTTGAATGCAGGACTTTTACTTGTAACAGAGTACTTCTACATTCTGGTACTTCTACTTAAGTACTTAAGTACAATATCTGAGTACTTTTTCCACCTCTGGTTAATCCTGCACAAAGAAGTATTACAGTACAGTCTGGGTGGGGCGTTGACCCAAAACCAGGCAATACAAATGGATCCGATGTTCCGAGATTCCTTGTAGACGCTTAATAACAGTACATTAACACTGCTAAGTACACAATTACTAAACCAAAGTAGCCTGATAACAATATTTAGCAAGGAGAGACACCACAGAAGGGTCATATTAACACTATTTTGAAAACGTACCATTACCTGCCAGTTAACGACATTTTAACTGATCATCTGACAACTAATTTCAGCAAGGCCAAAGCCTCTCCCATAATGCAGAACATAAATTAAATATCGTTTCGTGTGGCTTTGGCCTTGTCCATTTCTCAAACTGAGCTGTCAAAAGCAGGCGAGGCATTGACAGCGTCACAGTCTGACTAGCAATCTTTCGATGTTAGCATTAGCCTTTAAGCCAATAATTATTCAGCAAGTTAAAATAAATGCTTCGAAGGCTAGCCATAGCAGTTGTAATATATTCGTAAGCAAGCGGTGGATATAATTAGCAATATGTGATATTTTTAGAGATTGTTTTCTATTGATAACCATCTCGTTAGTAGCATGCTACATGGCTAATGCTAGCAAGCTAACGTCCCTGTATTACATGATCACTGGCAATCCCACGGTGACTAAAGTCAGCAGAGAGCTAGCTAGCATCCAGAAATAATATCAGCCTCGATCCTTACCTGCACGATTAAAAAGACTCGACGTTTTCTCGGGTATATCCAATGCTATTTGATGTCTTAGAAACGGATTCAGTGTGTTTTTAAGACATATTTCAAACAAGAAATCCTTCACATAAACGATAATCGTTCCTGTCGCTCAGCGTGGTTGCTAACGTTACAGCTGTCTCTCCGCCCCTCTTCCGGTAGACCGGTACAGAAGAAAATACATCCCATAAACCATAAAGCCCTTCCCATCCAACTGTAAATATTACACTAGACATTTAATATTTGCTTTTTAAATGTTACAAGCTTTATGTTTGTGTAGAAGCATTATTACTTTAATACAGTATCATCAACCCTTAATTAGCTTAACAAATGTAGTGTTGCTTTCCATGTCATGCGTGGAAAATGTGCAATGAAAAGCAATGAGATTAATAATAAATACATACAAATATGTGTCTTTAAAATTGTGCATTACCTGAATTAAGTATACATTGGCTTTGGGGGAAAGTAGAGAGGAGAACAATTACAGTAACACTTGATGGCAACACACAATCAACCCAACCCAAGCGCCATCAAGCGTGTTTGGTGCATTTTGTGATACTGGAAATACATATCAATACAATACAATACAAATAATAAGTATAAAAATCGTGAATAAAATTCCTTCCAACATTTTTTTAACTTTTTAGACTGAATCAACTTAGGATAACATAAATTAGTTATTTCTCCTTTCTGCTATGTTTAAGTGATATTTATTTACATTCATTTTTGCTTATTTGTCAGTCAGCAAAGCCAAACACTTCATGGTTACTATCTCATCATCTTTTCATGTACATATATTGACTTTCCTTTTGTCTTTGATTTGATTTCCCCCCTCATATTTAACTTTTTGTATCTAATAACCTGACTTGAATAGCAAACATTTTGACTTATAAGTACCAAAGGTTTATCTATCTATTATTCATCCAATCAATCATATCATTTCTCTCCTAGTGGATCACACACCAGGATGAAATGCCTTGTTACAGTAGCTCAATAATACAATAAAAAAGGGGGAATATTGATGAATTAAAAAAATAAAACAAGATACAAACAAGACAAAAGAAAAAGTCAATATACACCTTTATGCATGATGGATTATACATGCAATTAGTCAAGTATGGACCACCTTTTCAATGTTAATTACATTATCCACACCCTGTAATGCACATGTGTCAAACTCAAGGCCGCCAAATCAGGCCCTTGGTGGATTTAATTTCGGCCCGCAGGATAATTTCTAATAACTATTAGATCTGGCCCGCCGGTATATTGCACGCACACCTTCACTCAATCCTGAGGATTTCCTCATCTCAGAGCCTGAGCCCAAACATTGATGAACTTGCACCCAAGATGAGATGCCAAGTATCTGGCTTCAACTAGCATCACAGAGCAGCAAACTGAGTTTACATGGATGTTTCCTTCTGCACTTTGTTTCTTGCGACAACAAGGCATGTTTGTTTTTTTCTTTGAGGGAAATTGTTTTTTTGAAGCTGTTGTTGGCCTGTGGAATAATATAATCATAAGAAATGACTCCGGAAAAGCTGCAGACAGAGCCATAAGAAATGAATGCAACTGATTATGTAATGTTTAATGTTGTTTTTATATGCAATAATTTAAGCTTTGTTAGTTCCAGGTTTAATATGAGCAATAAGTTCATTGCAATAAGTTTTGCAATAAACATTGAACCAGTCCGGCCCTCGACTAGTACCCATTTTTTTTATTTTGGCCCACTGTGTATTTGAGTTTGACACCCTAATGCAATCCTAGTATGGACTTTAAGGTGAATTCACAAAATAAATATACTGTACTTGCAATACTTTGAGAAGGCCAAGAGATGGTGCTGAAACTCCATAGCAACGACAGGGAGCCATTCTTTTATTTTGAAAGTCCCGCTGGAGACCTTCACTCGGCAGCAGCTGAGGTCAGCCGGAGCAGTGTGTGCGGAGGAAAACTCTAGATGTTCAGGTAAATCCATTCATAACTACCGTTTTTACACTCAGGTAAAAAACAACCACCCATGTGGACGAGTCGACTTGTTTGTCTGTTTATTTTAAGCCGGTTCAACTGATGAAGCTAACGTTGATAGCCGTTATTAGCCTTGTTAGATAAGTTAGCATTAGCTGCTTAGCGAGGCCAATAACTGTTGAGTGCTTTAACTGTATAACCATGTGCTAAAATCATTCATATGTTCCTGAGCTAACATGAGGGTGTTGTTCTTCTTATTCATGTCCGAGTTTTTGTCCTTAAAATGTTAGTTGAAACTTGATTAAAAATGCTAATTTGTTGTGTATTTTTGGTGTTATGCTAATTAATGGAAGTTTGGATATTTCATTGTTATCCATGGATGTATAAAGAGAAGAGGTCTTATCAGTGTGATGATATGTATTTATAGCAAATAACCTGTTAACACTGCTTCACATGAGGCAAATAAATCATCATAACAATATATAAAGCACACTGAAAAGGCAATTAAAATCAGTTTAAGTAGAGTAGAGTGATTTAAAATACAATACCATAATACAGAAGTGTATCTAATTGGATGTAGGAAATACAAGCACAATATAGTCGTGATATAACATCAGTTTGCTCTCTTATTAATGTCTTAATAACTATTAATAAGTGAAACATCTAAATGAATAGATTGCAATTGATTGAATGCAGATATTAATGAAGAGGCAGACTTGTGCTTCATCATTAGTTAGTTGTTTACTTGTCAGTAGTATATCCATATGTTGAAGCACTCTATCTGTGCTTCTACAAAGTCCCACGCAAACTATCTCTTAAAGTCAAATGAGGGGATACAGGTTTACAAAATTCCAACTAGAAATTGATCTGCCTGTTTTAGAAGTAAGAAGCAATGTTAAATGTTTGAGCCAAAGCATCATCATGTTGTCAGGGTAAGACTCTAATGGGATAACCATGCATGTGATGAGCCTTGTGCACACTTTAATTGGATGTTGCATGTTGTCTTGTCAGGTGGATAAACAGATTAGAATGGAGGTCTAATAGTGAGAGACTTCGTTACTTCGTTAAGACAACGCAATGCTAGGTTTATAGGAAAACAAAGCCTTTAATTTAATCTGTAGTCAGAAAGCCACTTGGTTTGTGCATGAGTATAATGTAAGGTAAAGTTGAAATGCTTCTATGGGCGTGCCAATGACTCTTGCATCTTAGTATATTTCCACATGTTACAGATTGACAAGCCTTACTTTCCTCAGGTTAGGCAAGGGTTGCATTTACTGTATGTCGGAGCGTTTATGTAATAACGTGAGTATATCCCCTCCTGAGCCTCCAAGGTTAAATCCTTGCATGTCATCTCCCTCAGCTGCAGCAGAATGGCGATGAGGATAAGAGGGTTGCTGCCCAGTCATGGATAGATCGTTACAATGACACATGAGACCCTCACTAGCTCCCAGCTGTCTTTCAAGGCGGCTGCCCTGCGCATGGTGGACCTGCCGCTGTCCGTGTGCAGCTCCCTGACTCAGGTGAGCGTGTGTTTGTGAGTGGGGGAAGTCTGAAAACTGCTTTGTCATGAGGAGTTCTCCCTGATTTCTGTATCTGCGTCACCAGAGGCGAGTCTGTGGTGGGTACGACTGCACTTCAGGATCTTTTTTTAGCTGCCTTTTTATTAGGTGTATCGCGTCTATTGCTTGTGTTTTATAGTCTTAATATTTGTCCTAAAATAATAGTGGATCGAAATACGTTGGTAAAGCTTTCTGTGAATATGGAATAAGAAAGCCTTTATTGTCGTGTGTGCAGAGTATAAGGATATAAGAGCATTACTTTTGATCACTGTAAAGACACAGGAGAAACACAACAAAAACACAACTCATCCACAGCAGAACACAGGACAAATACATTATATTTAAGACATCATTTATATGAATACATTTTGCAATAGAATAAATGTAAATATTGTAATAATTTACTTTAGATGTATCTATACATTTCTTGCCCAACTTCTTCTTCCAATACAAAGAGAGTTTCATAAACACATAGTGACTTAGTATTTATTGTTACAATTAACCTACCGTTTCCTAAACCTCCAATATTTTGTGACATTTTCTTGAAAATTCGTGACTGGCATGCATCAAAATATCCACGCTGTCCCCAAAAAGTCTGACATTCCTTCAACAGTTTTCTATACTTTACTCGTATATTTCAATCTTTATTTAATGAACCTAGAGGACACAGTATAGCTGCAACAAACGATTATTATCAGTGTTGATTCATCTGTTTATTTTTGCTACGTAGTCGATATTTTCTTTCAGTAACCTTTTGTGTTATCATGTGTAATAGCAGTGCATTAGGAGAGTGTGTGTGTGTGTGTGGCCAGAGTCATGAAGCAGATCTGATTTCATGAAGAATCTGATCTGAGCACGTCTGACATGTGTTGCTCACAGGAAAGGAAACACTTTGGCACCATTTCAATCATCCCATTCCCTTTAGTGGCTTTTTAAAAAGTCAATACGACTGTGCAGTGAGAGCTCCACACTGTGTTTATGTAATCTTCAGTTGTTGGGGATATGCAGCAGCAGAGTCTGGATAATCTCTCTGTCCTGGTTCAGTGTTTCTATCTATAGACAGAGTGGGAGGTGGGGGTGCACTCTATAGGAAGATGATTCTTTAAAATGTCGATGACGGGTTGGTATCTGAGCCTCAGCGCTGCGTGTTCTGTCCTCCAGAGAGTTATGCATCCTCAGATGAACTCTCTCTGGCAGGTACATGATGCAATCTTTTTTTTGCCCTTTGTGTTGTCTCTCACTTTCATCAGACCTTTACCTAAACTGTTACTGTAGAACAATCTTCTATGTTACCGTGGACTGCAATAGTCTCTTTTTAAGCACAGCTGTATGGCCTCAGTCTGCCTCTGTTGTCTTAAGGTGGCAGACTGTTCTTACAATATTTAAAGAGCATTGCTCTGAGCTGCAAACGCAAATAACGCTCATAGTCAGTCTATAATACATCAGAAATGTTCAGACAATGGCAATTTCAACTTCACAGAGCCAAACGTAAGATCTTCACGTCTTCTTTTGTTCAACCAAAAGTTACGAAAAAGTTTGTATGACAACAAAATATATTTTTTTTTAAGAGCAGGCAATTGGAGAATATTGGAAATGATTCATAATTCCAGCTTGAAAAATGACTGGAGCAATTATCAAATTATCATGAGCAATGATTTTTCTTCCAGTATATTTAACAAATAAACAGTTTTTTTATTTTATGTTGATACAAAACAGCTGAGCAAGAGTTTTCAATACTCTGTGCTGTTTACCTTCCTTCCCAATCTGTTTCACATCTAACGGTTTCGAGTTTCAATTGAAGAATTTTCCCTCTTCAACAGTCAGGTTAAGGCATGTGGCAATTCACTAACAGGATATGGAGCTACAGAGACTTTTTTAATATCAAATCAAATAGAAAATTAACAAGTCTGCTGCTCTGGCTTCTTTTTAAGATGAATAAACATTAAAGTGTTAATCTCTTCCTCCCTCTGCCTGTCCTCCAGCTGGATGTCAGCTCAGGCACCAAGAAGCTGGTGGCCGCCGCTGCCTTCGGCGCCGTCTCGCTCCTCTTCCTCGCTCGCCGCTTCCAGAGGAGGAAGGGCCGGAAGAAGACTCTCTCTCCTCAGTGGGAGCAGGACGGCTTCGAGTTGATCTCTTCGGCCGCAGGAGGGAACGGTAAAACCCTGTGATACCTCTTCTGTTAACTAACAGTTTGTCATGTCATCATGTTGTGCTGCTGCTGTGTCACCTTGAACTGTAAACAGCAGGCTGCAGATACATGATTTTTAACTTATTTAATCTCACTTTGAAATGTTTTACACTGATAACAGCCCCAGTGAAATGAACTGATGAACTAGCTATTAGCAGCAGGGGAGTCAGAAAGTCAATTATTAAAAAGGGATATGAGTTCAATCCCCAGGAAAGGGACAGTGCACATTGACAAACACAGCTGTAAATGTGCCAGAGTAGTCCCTTAACAAAACAAACACAGTTTATCCATTCGTGCTAATGTTATATGATCACTGCTTTCCGATCTTTGACTCAATCATTATCTCTGAACTCTCGTCTTCATCTCCCCAGATAACACCAGTCGGAACATCACTCTCTCCCTCAACTCAAAGAAAGGCCTCTCCTCCGGTCTGCTTCTCAACTCAGGAGACTACAGGAAACTGTCCGGCTCTCTGCTGAGCCTGGCCTCGGTAAGACCAAGGCAGAGTTTGAGTGTAAAAACTATCATCTCAATATGTAAAACCCAGACACAGAATGCAATAAGGAAACATTAAGAGAGAAACTGCAGGATATTTCTGAAACATGAGTAAGATCACGCCTTCTGATGGCTTACCTCACTCATTCAAATAACTTTATTGTCCATTAAATTAGAATAAAATGGAAATGTGTCTTTGGAACAGACCTACAAGACAACAAACACCATACACATAAAACATGGTATATTGTAGGCAATTAATACGAAATATGTTCTTGTTTTCGATGCGTTCACTGCTTGAAATCTAACTCTGTTCCCTTGTGTGTATTTCCAGGTGAAAAGCATGAACTCATCGAGCAGCAGCACCTGCGCAAATGAGTCCATCTGCTGGGACCGAGCGCTGGAGGCGGACATCTGCAGTGTGGTCAACTTACCTGTGACCACACCTGAAAACCTCTACCTCATGGGTACACACACACACACACACACACACACACACACACACACACACACACACACACACACACACACACACACACACACACACACACACACACACACTACGTCACCTCACAGTGTTTGTAATTAGGAGACTTGCAATGAATTTGTTGAAATAATGGCAGTGTTAAATCCATCCTTTTTAGGGGGTTGCCTTGTTTCAAAATGGAGCTTTTTTAGGTATTGGAAGTTCAAGGAGACTCAGAGTTTTTTTGTATGTGTGTTTGTAGGTATGGATCTATTCGAGGAGGCGTTGAGGCGGTGGGAGGAGGCGTTGACGTTCAGGAACAGACAGGAGGAAGACGATGGTGCCAGCTGTGAATCCGTCAAAACAGGAGCTGAAGAAGCTGTCGCTGAGCAGGGCACGGAGGTGAACACACAGAAACACACCTCATTATTTAACTCCAATCCAACATATACAGGGTAATGCCACACTTAATCAGAGCCCTGCCTGTATGTTTGGAAAACTGTATGTTTTCCTATAAATGCACCCAACAAAAGAAACAGCTTAGTTAAACTTCATCTAAAAATAACCAACATTTCTGTACTCTGTCTACTCTCCTTTTATGCCAGATGAAGGTGGATAGAACATTTTGCCCTCTGTCAGTGCCCCAGGTCACACATATGAGTAAACAGCACTCTGCGTTTGGATTGTTTAACGGCTAACTGGATTAGTGCGGTTCAAACAGTTAATCTTGGCACCCAAACATATGCCCGGTCTGTTGCATAAGTCCTCAAAAACAACACTACCCGCCCCTCAGTCCTGCCGCTAAACAAGCTTATCAAAAGGTTGATAAGTTAAGCTTGAAAGTGGAATTATAACAAAACAAAGAAGGGGGTCTTTAGAGGGAAATAGGGTTTTAAAAATGTAAAATGTCTTTATTTGATCTCCCTTCAAGCTGATACTTGTTCAAACATTAGGGAGCCTGCTATTAACCCTTCCTTTTCTAACTTTGTTTATTGGGTTTTGTTATGTTAAATCATTGCATGTGTCAAAAGTAGGAAAACATATTGTAAAACTATGTAAAAGACAAGATAAAAAGCAACAATTGAAATATGCCTAAACACCAGAGCCACTAAAACCACACACAAATAAATAAATAAATAAATAAAAAATCAGTCGGCAACCAAAACGCCGTCAATAATAAACAAAAAAGGCAGTATCCTCTTCGCCACAACAACCATAATATTCTCATCCCTTCAAAGTTAAAAACCGTAATCAGGAATGAAATGTATCCTCTTAACAAACTGAGTCTTGCATTTGAGTAGCATATACCGTTGTATGTCCTGTTTGTAAAATGCTGTTGTTACTTAAAACAGTTTACTCTAGGCTTTGTGAGCCATGTTTCTGTGGTTACCAGATGTGTGTGTGTGTTCAGGAGGGGATGAGTGCAGAGTTCCTCCTCCGGCTGAAGTCTCTGCTGCAGAGAGCCTACAGCCTGCAGGAGGAGTTTGAGGGGGTGCTGTGTCTGTCGGAGCCCTCGTCCCTCTGCCAGGGTGAGTCTCTCACACTATGAACTGTCCATGATCCATACAGCGTTATGCAACTCATCACAATGATTCTCCTCCCTCAGATAAAATAATGTTGGACGTTTTGTCCAGAGAGGAGCTGGACGACGTGTGTCTGAGGGACAGCATGAGCATCGCCTCCAACGACTCCTTTGTGTCGGCTGCTGAGGTAACAACAATAGGGACTATAAATGCAACATATTTCAATATATATATTCTACTTGCATCCCAGGAACTCTTTATGCTTGAATAAGAACATGCTCTTACATTTTAGGGAAAGATTTCATCAAGCAAAGTCCATTTTTTGGATGGAAATATTCCTCAAAAACAATAATAAGTAATAATGAAGAAACACTACAGCTAGCTGCCTAAATGCAACACTTTATACATTTCCTTGTTGGTTGTTGGGGGAAAGAAATACTAAGTGTGAATGACTCAAAAGTACCCGTAAAGTTTCAATTTACAAACATATACAGTGTAGTATATTAGTTATAAAAAATATATACCAGCTTGTTGTCGAACGCAAACCCCTGCCAAAGCTAAATGCCCATTTTAGCAAGTATAACTGAAGTAAAAAATAATCTGTGTTTCCGCCCCATGATTCATATCCACTCCAGTTCTTCCTTGCCCCAAGATACAACCTTCGACTAAAAAGTGAATATGAAATGAAAATCGGCCCTCTAGATTTTCTCAAATCCTGCTAACAAACAAAAGTAACCTCCTTGGTAATAAAGATAATGGGAGAGCAGTGTTATTTGATCCCCCCCCCCGGCAAGAAAAGCCAAAGGCACCTTAACCTATTTGGGTGGCCCACGCATATCCCCCCCCCCCCCCTCCCCCCCTCAAATCAGAAAATACATGCGAGTTCATGGCTACTGTTGACAACGTTCTTGTTGCTCTGTGTTGCGTTGTTAATGGAGTGAGTCACACCGGAGTTGAGAATCTGAGGGGTTTATTCTCCGAAAAATATAATTTACAATTTAGGCATTTAGCAGACGCCTTATTCCAAAGCGACTTCCAATGACCAATTACAGGGACATTCTCCCTGGAGTAACTGAGGGCTAAGTGCCTTACTCAAGGGCACACTAGTAGTGGTGTTCCAGGCGGGATTTGAACTCGCAACCTTCCGATCATCAGCCCACCTCACTATCCATTAGATTAGACTACCAAAATAGAAATAAAAAAAAAAAAAAAAATTAAATGTAAAAAAAATTATGAGATCCATTTGTGGCGGACGATATTTAATTGTGGTGGCCCGCCACAATTAAATCAATGTATGGGAAACACTGGGAGAGGTATATTAGTGAAGTGTGAGTAATTCCTTAATCCAGCACCTGAAACAAGAACAAGTGTAAATCACAAACTGCACTAAGCATCAAATACTCTACAAGTCGTTCACAGCAGGAGTTTGATTAAAATAGCTTCAGTCTCTCCTGTCAGTCCCCCCCCCCCCCCACCCCTGGTGTTTACCTGCAGCTCCCAGCTGATCTCTTTAAGTCACTGGGGGGGGGGGGGCTGGGGGCTGGGGGCTGTCTCCACTGCTGCCTCCACTGCTGCCTCCACTGCTGCTGGTGCACTTGACCCACAAAGTACAGAAATAAACTGGTTGGCTACTGACTTGTTCACTGAGGTTTAAAGCCTTGAATGTTCAGGACCGTTATTCCCCCTCCCGAGCTGAAGGTGCTGCACATCTCCACCAGAGTTGCACATTTACAGCGCACATCATATCAAGTAAATAGCGGTTGAAGATATACAGATATTAACACCTGTAAATAAGTACATTTATCTTCAAAGACGAAAAAGCTTTAATAAAGGTTTTCACACCCTCAACCCTGTGTGACATTTACACCGCAGTGAGAGGAGGCAGAGTGATTAAAGCGGGTCACTCTGAGTTATAAATAGAGCTTCAACATTCTTCACTTCACAACATGCAGCTCTCTGTCGCTCTGCAGCTGCTTCCACTATAATCTCCCAACACCTGATCAACACGGGGAGGTTCTCTGTGGGGTCAGAAGTTGCTCTTTTATAAAGTGGAAATCGGCGCATTTATAACTCATAATGGTGATTTAATGGAGTTCTAACGTTACTTAAGAAATCACAGTGTGTTCCAGGACAGCCTGCACTTATTTTAAGTGGAAGAAGAAACTCAAAGTGTATCCTTAAAGGCCACCTTGAATAGAACACAGCTTTATTAGCATATTTTCTCTCTTGTCACTTTTAGCAAACAGTCAATTATAACAAATATTTCCAGCATAGGAACTGTACAGATTCTACAATTCCTTTGCCTTGATATTTCCTCATAAAGTACCTTCAACTAAATCGTTTTTTTGTTATAATCTGGTCTACTTCTTTTTGCATGAATATTCGAGAATCATAGGAGGACACAGAATTATAAGATAAGATAAGACTTCATTCATCCCGAAGGAAATTGTTGTGCCAAAAATACAATAAACACAGCAGCACAATAATAATAATAAAACTGTTCACTAACAGTTCAGTAAAAAGAGCAATTCAATAACTACAGGAAACGCAGATGGTCGCATAATTAATGTAAATATTAACAGCATTAATTATGATTTAAAATGATCATTATTAACTCCACAATCCTATTCTTTCAGCTGGCGGAGCACCGAGAGCTGCGCAGCGTCCTCGCTCTGGTGCCTCACCTTTTCTACGAGGAGGCGCTGCAGATGGCCGAGGACGGAAAGATCTCCTGTAGAGTGCTGCGGTAATTACACTGATTTAGTATACATGTATAAATATGTACCTTCCTGAAACATATTGTGAGGAATTCATTGCTTTGTCTGCCAACATTTGATCTAATGTTTTTCTTGGTATTCTTCATCAGGACTGAGATGCTCGGGTGTCACGGAGACATCGACTTCCTCGCCAAGTTGCACTGTGTGCGGCAGGCCTGTCAGGTACAGAATAACCTAATTCATTCAAACATGTCATGATGGAGGTTAACTCATGTAATCATTTGAATTGCCAGCTAATTATTTTTGACTAAATTGCTTCCATGTGGTGGTTTCTAGTAAATGTGTATTGGTGTGTTGAGAAAATTCAGCTAGTGTTCAAATTGAATGCTTTGGATTGTGCTACATTACTAAAAACATGACATTACTACACAAGATAGGAACGGTTTAACTCGCACATTTACAGCCATTAGGTGTTGAATTTGAATTGTACATTGTTTGAGTAAAATGTCGTCTTTTCTCCAGCTCATCCTGTGTGACAGAACCACCCGGATGTTTCTGGCCGACACGGGAAAGAAAATTCTGTCTTCAATTATTGTTAAAGCACAGAAGGTGAGCCTGAAGACAGATCGTGTGAATTATAAGACTTGATAAGAGTGCTTCCCTTCCTAAATGTTTATTTATTTCCAGAGCCCAAAGAGGTTTGAGGAAGTGTTCGAGGAGATGATTTCCTTCGTGGAGCACACGGAGCACTGGGAGAACACGGAGGTGGAGCTCGCCACTCGAGGGGTACGACGCTGCTTCTTCTGATACATATTATATATATATATATATCGTCTGACTGTCCGCTGTCAGAATTCAACAAGCTACCAAGAAGATGTCCTCTTTTCAAAGTGTAACACTCCCTCCTCTCCCTGACCAGGTGAAGCACTTGAACTTCTACGACATCGTGCTGGACTTCATCCTGATGGACTCCTTCGAGGATCTGGAGAATCCTCCCGTCTCCATCCAGAACGTGATCAACAACCGCTGGCTCAACAGCTCCTTCAAGGAGACGGTGAGGAAACACACAAGTGCTCAGCAAGGGAGTGCTTGAATTTGGAAAATGGGTCAAAGTCAAGCACTTTTCAAGTTTTTCCATTACCTTACAGCTGTTGTAAATTAGCTATTTATATACAGAACATACTTTATATGCAGTGAACTGATCATTTTACTTCATTATTACATTCAATCAAATACATTGTGCTATAAACAAGCAAAACATACATTTATGGACAGTTTTCTTTAGAAGGGGGACAATTACAAGCACTTTATAATTAAATTCCACACACTCAAAACTTTGAAAATACTACATTATAATGAACAATTCAAGGATTTCTGAACAATAATACTGTAGTTACATACTTTAAAAGTGACAAATATAACCTTTCTGTGTTTCCTTGTTTGAATGAAATGATTTTTTTAAAGTTGGTGCTTCTAATGTTTTTCTATTGGGGCTTTCCATGGATGATTAAACCTGTATGTATTTTCTCAGGCGGTGGCATCCAGCTGCTGGTCAGTGATGAAGCAGAAGAGACAGCACATGAAGGTAAAAGTCCAACATCTTGTATATGAATCCCCCTCTTTTCTTTCTATGACAGCTTTTATTTCAGGGCTAGTTAAGAATTCCGACAGTAAATCCTATCTAATCCTATTTCATGTTCTTAATGACCGCCTCCTCTCTCTGTGTCTCAGGTTTCCGACGGCTTCATCGCTCACTTCTACGCTGTGTGTGAGCAGATCAGCCCGGTGCTGGCCTGGGGCATCCTGGGGCCGAAGAGCTCGCTGCACGACTTCTGCTGCTTCTTCAAGGTCCGTCTCTGCCCCAAAACGTTATGTGATACAGACTTTATACCTGCCAGAACCATCTTATGAATAGGGTCTTTACTTGTAATGGCGTCACAGCTACAGTTTCATATCTCTTAAGTTACAATTCTACCCAAAATGGGACCAACTTCCCATTTTGGGAGTTTTAGCAAGTTTAACTGAAAAGTAGTCAGATTAATTTAAATTGAAAAAAACTCATTACAAAAAAATAATCTTTACTATTATCATCATATCTATGAATACTATAGGTTCTGGGGAAGAAAGGGATGGGAAGGAGGAGAAGTGAATATGGGAAGTCACAGAAGGGATTCTAAAATTAACCGCCTTTTTTGATTCAGTTGTTTTTGCAGCACAACTTCATGTTGACAAAGAAAGCAAAAATGAATGTTGGTAGAATCAAATTCAAGCCGATTCCTAACCTCGACAACATGTAAAATCCAAAAGTGAAGCATTTATGATTCACATTAGTAGAAAAACATACAAATATATATCTTTTTTTTTTGATGATCTGAAATTTTTTCTTCTAAATAAATAACAATCCGCTTAAAGGTAGAGTAGGTAATTCACTTCAGAAACACCTTTTGTTATATTCCATGGAATGCTCTTAACATCCCGATAGCAATGAATATCTTAAGTGCTTTGACAAAAAATCCATAAAAAAATGTCATCTGAGGAAGCCGTGGCGCTGTAAAAAGCACGACCAATCATCTGAGCCGGCCCGGCTAAAATAACTGGATGGCCTACCTGCCTGTCAGCCTTCCATCTGGGCACAAACTTATCTCGTGCCCTCATTGGTCATGTGCGCGTTCGTGTGTGTTGGAGGAGGGGCTCTGTAAGGAAGTCAGGATTTTTTTCGGCTGCGTAGTTTCAAATTCTAGCGCACTCGAGCTGGCTTCTCCATTCTTACCTACCCCACCTTTAATATCCTTACCAAATATGTGCTCCAAAATAAGTATTTAAGACAAAAAAAAGAATTCTAGGGGAATATTTCTGTGAAGTATCTGCCTCAGTGTGCTGACTGATCTCTCCTTCCCTCCAGGACCAGGTGCAGTACTTCCTGAAGGACATCTTCGACCTGGACAAGGTGCGGTACTCCTCTGTGGAGACCCTGGCGGAGGACATGCTGCACCTGCTGCACCGCCGCTCCGAGCTGCTGCTGGCCTACCTGGGAGCCGAGTCGCTGCGGCACGCCAACATCTGCAACGCCGCCAAGGTGACGCTGCTGCCTAGCAACCTGATGGAGGCCCGGGTGCAGTGAGAGGAGAACACACACCCAAAAAATGCCAGAGCATCCAAACACAGTACAGTTTACCGTCTGCAGAGTTTACAGGTCATCTGTCGGACTTATTTTCCACTTATCTGTTGCACAAAACTTCTCATTTAAGGAATTCAATGTAAACCAGTTTCACCGTGGTCAGACATCACATCTCCCATCATGCTTTGTGCTCTCATTGCTCTGTATGTGAGGATAAGCTGTACCTTGCCTTCACACTTGATCGTTTTTTCAAGTATGGCCTCCTCTTCCCCGCTCCCTATTCTGTGCCATGTGCACACGTTTCAAAACCATAGCAATAATACGTAAACAAGCTGTGAGACATTTGATCGTAATTATATCGCAGTGTATATTCTGCTGTGTAAATTTAGCATATTTATTGCGGTTAGGAAGAAGGGTGTTTTTCAGTATTTATTTTACTAAGTAGTTAAATGATGCAGGATTTATTTTTTAAAGCTTGTAGTTGTGCCTGTGAGCATTGCTTGATTTGTGATCTGCTTCAAAAATATAGTATGAATGTCATGTAATCTGAGATTTATTAGATGTATTTCAACATCTTACTGCACATCAACAATGCAAACAGTTAAATGTACTTTTTGTGACCAAGCAAATCACTTAAAAAGGGAAATGTTAAA